GACTGGTCCCTCCTGATAATATGTCTGAAGTATGAGAGACAAAGTCTTACCATCCTGGATATACTTCTAACACAGATTTGTTTCTTCTTCCGGCTATAACCGTAACAATCTGTCTCATTGGGGGTCTTCTCTTTTTCGCCGACCCTCCACTTTACCAGGCATGATGTCCTTCTCCAAGGACTGGTCCCTCCTGATAATATGTCTGAAGTATGAGAGATGAAATTTTACCTGGCTGTACTTCTTTCAACACAGATTTGTTTCTTGTTCTGGCAGCCCAAAGTATTTTTCAATATTCTTCTCCAACACCATAATGCAAATGCATCAATTCTGTTATGGTCTTTATTGTCCAACTTGCACATGCCTATGAGGCTATTGAAATTACCATGGCTTGGATCAGGCACACCTTAGTCCTGAAACTGACATTTTTGCTCTTGAACATTTTAAAGTGGTCTTGTGCAATAGGACATTTGAACTCCTGACTGCTGCTTTCATGAGTGTTAATAGTGGATCCAAGCAAAATGAAGTTTTTGACAATTTCAATCTTTTCTCCATTTATCATGATGCTATTTATTGATTCTATGGTGAGGATTTTTGTCTCCTTTCAATTGAGGTGCAACCCATACTGAAAGCTATGGTCTTTGATCTTCATCAGTAAATATTTTAAGTTCTCTTCACTTTCAGCAATCAAGGTTGCATCATCTGAAAATTGTTAATGAGTCTTCCTGCAATCCTGATGTCACGTTCATCCTCATATAATACAACTTCTCAGATTATTTATTCAGCATACAGATTGAATAAATATGGTGAAAGAATACAACCCTGGAAAACACCTTTCCTGATTTAAACCTGCAGTGTCTCCCTGTTCTGTTCGAACAACTACCTCTTGGTCTTTGTACAGATTCCTCATGAGCACAAATAAGTGTTCTGAAATACATATTGTCTGCAATGTTGACCATATCTTGTCATGATCCATACAGTTGAAAGCCTTTGCTTAGCCAACAAAGCACAGGCAAACATCTTTCTGGTACTCTCTGCTTTCAACCAAGCTCCACCTGATGTTAGCAATGCTATCCCTCATTCCACATCCTCATATGAAACTAGCTTGAACCTCTGAAAGTTCCCTGTTAATATACTGTTGCAGTTATTTTAAAATTATCTTTAGCACATTTTACTTGCATGTGATATTAATTAGATTGTCTGATAATTTCTGCATTCCATTGGGTTGCCTCTTTTTGGAATGGGCACAAATATGTATCTCTTCCAAACAGTTGTCCAGGTAGCTCTCTTCCAAATTTCTTGGCATAGATGAGTGAGTGCCCCCAGTGCTGCTTTGATTTGTTGAAAGATTTCCATTTGTATTCCATCAATTTCTGAGCCTTCTTCTTTGTCATTGCCCTCAGTGCACCTTGGACTTCTTCCTTCAGTACCACTGGCTTTTGATCATATGCTACCTCTTAAATGGTTGAACATCAACCATTTCTTTTTGGTACAGTGATTCTTTTATTGTAAGACAGTCAGCTCTGAGGACAGAGGTTGATTTTATTTTCTGCATCTCACTGTACCAAAAGAGTCACTGTGTAATGAAAACACTACATGCAAAATTTGTGTGACACAGTGAATTTGAAGAAAATAAACTTGAATGCTGAATGTGTCATCTTGAACCAAAGTTTGTTTTGGGCTTTTTAAACTTTGATTTTGAAATGGAGTCCCTGGGTGGGGCAACCCATTTGCATTCACCTTGAAGCACTTCAGAATAAAGGCCTGGCAATGTAATGCCAATGATCAGCTATTAAAATCCTATTAAGCACAGTTTTGCTCTAACACAAAAGGTGGTGCTATGAATCAGAATCTACTCCAAGACAACTGATTTAGTATTTTGAAATAATTTTAGACTTATGAAAAGTTGCAAAATTAGTACATAGTATTCCCATATACCCATTACTCAGGCTAATTATAGATTAATTATAGATTTTTTTATATCAAGGTTGTGCTAAATACTTGAAATGAAATGGAACATTTTCCATATTTTTTAAGGTTTAGGATAATCTATATGTGCATGAGCTCTTTCTTGGAAAATTATTGCATGTGAAAGAAATTGGTAGTGGATATGTGCCGTGGAGTCAGTTCTGACTCATAGTGACCCTGGATAGGGTTTCCGAGGCTGTAAATCTTTATGGGAGCAGAAAGCCTCATCTTTCTCCTGTGGAACAGCTGGTAGTTTCAAACTGCTGAATTTAAGGTTCACAGCCCGATTCGTAACCACTACACTAACAGAACTCCTTTGTTGTTGTTGTTGTTATGTGCCGTGGAGTCGGTTCCGACTCATAGCAACCCTGCACAGGGTTTCCAAGGCTGTTAATCTTTACGGGAGCAGAA